GGCCCCTCGCTTCCCCGCCGGCGCCCCCGTCCGGTCCCTCCCCAGGCTGTCCGCCCCCGCCTCGTCCTTCCCCTCCCCGGGGCCCCGGACCCGCCCTGACCGCCCCCCGCTCCCCAGGTCCACCCGGCCCCCGGCCCCCGGTGCCGCGCGCTGCTCTCGGACCGCGGCTCCGCGGCGCTCATCGTATTCGGCTTCCTCTCGCTGCCGCCGCTGCTCGCGCTCGCCTCGGCCGCCCGCGCCCGCCTGGCCCGGCACCTCCGCCCGCCGCTGCCGCCCGCCACCCGGACCCCCGGACTCCGCTGCCACCTGGGCTCCAGCGACCGGGGGCTGGCGAGCCGCCACCCCGACGGGGAGGAGCAGCTCTGCGCCTGGGTGTGACCCCCGAGGCCACTTCAAGGGACACCGTGGCTTCCCAGTCCCGGGAGGCCCCCGAGCTCCCCCGCGACCCCCCACAAAGTGGCCCAGGCCGGGCACGCGCGCAGCGCTCCGATTGGCCGCGAGATGGCACCGGGCTGCTCCGGACCGGGGTCGTCTCTGCCACCCCCCGCAGCCCCCTCCCTGCCGCCGGGCGGAGGTGGCCTCCCACGAGGGACGCAGCGCCGCGCTCCGAGCAAACCGGCCTTCCCGGCTGTGCGCGCCGTGGCCGCGCTGCGCCCCTGCTCCCTCTCCAGGGGCTGCCCTGCGCCCTGCGCCCTGCCAGGTCGCCCCCGGGCCAGCTGGTGCCGGGGCTGGTGAGGCCTAGAGACAGCCGCACTGGGCCAAAAGTCCTTGGCTCCAGAGGCTGGGCGGTGGCCAGAAGCTGCGCGGGGGGCAGGGCTCCCCGGGGCCCTGATGAGCGCTCACCCCGTGCTGGGGTCCCGGCAGGGCTGGGCCTGTAACCAGAGTTCACATTTGGACAGGCACCTGTGTAAAAGCTTGGTTTCCTCTCTGGATAATTTTCGATCTTTGTCTTTGGTGTTCTGTGGCTTCACGACACGTTTCCAGTTGGGGACGTGCTCTCATCGATCCTGTTTGGCACCCCTCGTGCTCCCTGTTTCTGCGGGTCCGTACCTTCTATCAGCTCTGGAAAATGCGCAGCCATCGTCCCTTCCATTTTTCCTGAACCCTCCTCTGTACTTTCACGGCCCTTTCCCCTCCCACGTCACCTCATCTCTGCTTGTGTTTTCGTCCCCTTGACTCTGCGCGCATTCTGGGCAATTTCATCTTCCCTTCCAGCTCAGCGATTCATTCCCTGTGTCTAATCTGCTGATTAACTCATCCAGTTAATTTCATTATATTAATATATCCAAAAGTTATATTTGGCCAGGCACAGTGGCTCTGTAATCCTAGCACTTTGGGAGGCGGAGGATCACTTGAGGAGGATCATTTGAGCCCGGGCGTTCCAGACCCCATCTGTAAAATAAACGAATAAATAGAAAAAGTTAGGCAGGCGTGGTGGCGCGCCCGTAGTCCCAGCTATTTGGGAGGCTGAGGCAGGAGGATCGCTGGAGCCCAGGAGTTTGAGGTTTCACTGAGCTATGAGGATGCCACTGCACTCCATCTGGGTGACAGAGTGAGACTCTGTCTCAAAAATTAAATCAATAAAACATATTTTAATTTTTTCCCAAGTTTATCTGACCATTCTTCATGGTTTCTTGGTGCATGCTCACTTTTCAGATTCCAGTTTCAATTTCTTAAACATTTCATATATAGTTATTTTATATTCTATACCAAGGAATTTCAATTTCTAAGTCTTTGTGGGTTTCAATTTGTTATTTGTTGTTTCCGCTGATTATCACCAATATCATATCATTTCTTTGAATGCTTGGCCATTTTTAATTGTCAGCCCTTATCCGTGAAAACTCTGAGGTCCTAACTGGGGGCTGCTTCCCTCCAGAGACCACTCCCCTTTTCGTGGCACAACCAACCTGGGCCGCTTGAGAGCTCTGGAGGGTCCTGGTTTAGTGCCCCCCCGCGCAGAGCACCCCCTGTTCCCCGATCTCGGGCTGGCCCTCTGTCCCTGTGCGTCCAGGGAATTCTCTGCTTCCCTTCACCATCCTGGTCTCTGCTCACTACTCTGTGTGCTTATTTACTTATTTACGATGTTTGATTTGGGGGAGTCTCGGAAATATTTGCTTTCTCACAAGCCCGGCAGCCTATTAAAAATGTGTGTTCATTGTAATTCATCCAGAATCTCGTTGCAGCTGAAAGGCCTTTCAAAGGATCGAGTGCACCACGTTGCCAGTAGGGCCAAGGCCCAACCTGTGACCACGGTTAGGGCTGGTCTGGTGGCCTTGAGCAGAGTCCAGTGTGTAGCTGGGTCAAGTCCTGCCAAGTCCGGCAGGAGTCTTGGGGGTTTCCAGCCTTCATCTGCGTCCAGCTTTGATACCTTTCCTGGTCAGACAGGAGCTGGGCCAGGGGCCAAGCTGCCAAGGACAGCTTCCCCTGGGCTGGAGCCGCCTTCCTTCCCCCGCTGGCCTGGCTGGGTAGGCTCTGGTCACCACCAGGGATTGAAGATGATGGCTCTCCTGGGAGGCCCCAGAGTCGTCAAAACAACAGCTGGGCCTGGGGGTGGGGAGGCACAGTGGGGAGGTCAGCTGGCTGCAGCAGGGAGTTCTGAGCAAGGCAGCTGCCTCCTCCTCTTGCCTCCTCCTCAGGCAGCCTGTTTTCTAAAGGTGTTCCCAGCTGCCCGGCCCGCCCTGAGGCCCCACAGCCTCCAGCTGGCCCGAGGGAGGTGGAACACCTGTGGGGCTTGTGGGAGATGCACAAAAGGGTGTAGGGATCTGCTTTTAGGGGGGTGATAGAGCAGTGCTGGAGGACAGAGGCCCGGCTGGCCCAAGGGAGGAGGCCAGGCAGGAAGGCAGGAGCCTGGGTGCCAGGAGCCAACCCGGCAGAGAGCCAGAAACAGGCGGGGGCCCTGGATGGCCGGGACCCTCGCTGTTTCCGGGCATCAGCCCTCTTTCACGTGTCTGAAGTGGTCTTCCTCAGTTGCCACCCTCTGGGCAGGTTCCTGGGAAGAGAGAGGGACAGTGGAATGAGGGGAGGCCACAAGGCTTCCCTCCTCAAGGCTTCTGCCCCCCACCTGGACAGGACCCCACAAACCTGTCTCCCACTAAGGAGCCCTGGCCAGAAGCCCCCTTCTTCAGGGCCCAGCCTGGCCGGCCCTATCCTGAGGGTGCCTCTGTCCCCTCCCCCAGTCTGAGGTCCAACAGCACCTCCCCTGCCGCCTCACCACTGGCCCAGGGGCCTGAACTCCTGGGGCGGAGGGGCCACGCTGCTGGTGGGCCTGCTGCAGACCCGCACCTTGGCAACACAGGCCCCTGCCCTGCAGGAGGCAGCCTGGGGCGTGCTCGTGCACACGTGTCCCATCTGCTCCCCATCCCAGATCAGGAGCGTCAGCCCCACCCCACAGGTGAGGACACAGAGCTCTGCTAGGCTCTCACCTGGCCCGAGGTCAGGCGCTCACTCAGGAGGCATTTCCAAGGTGCACCCTCAGGCAGCCAGGAGCAGCTGGCTTGGCCGGCTCTGTCCCCACCCTGGGCATGTGGGCTGTCCATGGGGTGTGGGGCAGGGTCTGAGCCTGGGTGGGTGGGCTGGCTTTGAGAGCTGGGGCCCCTCCTCCTGCCTGGCCCGCCCCACAAGGTGTTGACTCAGGCCTGTCCCCTTCCTGCTTTCTCCTTCCCCATCTAGGCCCGGGGAGTCTCTCAGCTGCCCAGAGGCAGAGAGGCTGCTGGGGAGCCTGCTTGACCCCTACCTGGGGAGGGGGAGGGCATGGTGGCCACCTCTCTTGCACAGAAAGGCATGCCAGCAGAGGGGACCAAAGCTAGGGGCCCACCTCAGGAAGGGGTGCTGTTCAGTCGGCCACGCAGGCTGGAAACCCAGGAACACTCGGGGTGCTTCTCCCTGGCTCCCACCTTGCCCACTAGGCGCTGCCTCTGGCCGCCCAGCCGGGCGTCTCCCCAAGGCCTGGCCTCAGCCCCAGCCCCCACACAGCCTGCCCAGGCAGCACCTCCCTGTGGCCTGGGGCCCCCAGCCTGCTTGGCCCTCTCCGTCTGCCCCCAGGCCCCTTCAGCCCTCACACGCTGCCCCCAGCCCCCAAGTCTTGGCTTTTGCTGTCCCTCTGCCTGGAAGGCTCTTCCTTCCTGTAGCTCCTGCGTTTGGACCCCCGCTGACCCTCCGGTCTCACAGGGTCCCCACTCTGCACAAGGCAAAAGCAGAGGCACATCTTTGCTGGCACGGCCTCTGTCTAGCCCCCTCCTAGCCTGGCAGTGCTGGAGGCTGGGGGCTCTGCCCAGGGCCATGTGTTCCCAGAGTAGAAGCTGGAGTGTGGCCAGGCCCAGCATGCAGAGGACAGGTGGACAAACGCAGGTGGGGTGGCAGCCACCCCATGCACAGGCCACCCACTGGCCAGGCGTCTTTCCTGCCACCCCTAGCTGTTGCTGGCAGAGGGGCTGCTAGCTCTGGGGCCGGAGGGGGAGGCCTGGGCTCCTGGGGAGTGGGACAGGACCCCCAGGCCCAGTCCTCAGACCCTGGCGCGTCCCTGACCCCAATGGGCGGGTGGAGCCTAAAGCTGGGTGGGCTCTGCTGCTCTTGCCACCCCCACCCTGTCACCACCCCGTCCCACTGTCTGTTGTGGGAGGGCCATGGGGCTCCAGCTCACCCCACACCCTGCCCCAGGCCGTGCCGGCTGCCCCCCTGCTTCCTGTTGTTGTGTTCCCATGTGTGCACGAGTACTTGTGTGAGGCACAAACAGCACCGAGAACAGCAGTACACGGCCTGGGGTGGGGGCCCAGGCGCTCTGCCCTCAGCTGGGGTCAAGGGTGGGGTCGGAGGCCTCAGGAGCTGCCCTTTTCCCTGGGGTTGAGCATGACCACAGCCAGCCCAGGGACAAAAGGCCCTTCTTCTCTGCAGAAGCCTGGATCAGGCGGAGGAGGGAGCATTCCGGGTGGGGGCAGGGCGGTGTCCGGCTGGGAGCAGTGTCCCCGGGTTTCCCAGAACCCCCTCCACCTGCCTGCAGAGACAGGCAGTGCAGGCCAGCTCCGGGAAGTGAGGCGCAGGGACTCCCCAGACCTGGGCCAAGGCTGTGGGGGTGCTGCTTCCTCCTCTAGGGCCCCCAGCACAGCAGGACCAGGCAGGGACTGTGCTGGGGGTCAGAGGGCTGGGGGCCAGGATCCCACCGTGATCCGGCCTGGCCTGTCCTTGCTCTGGGGACAGCTCTGCCCCCTTCCCCTGGGCCCATCTGCCTTCAGAGGAGGCTTCCGGACCATTATATTTGTGCTTCCTCTGGCGTCTGCCTCAAGCCCAGCCCTGGCCCTGACCACGGCACCTCTGGCTGACCCCGTGCTCCCTGGGATCCTCTGCCTACCCACGTCTCTCCTCCCAGGTTGGGGGCGCAGCGGGGAGAAAGAGTCTTGCCTGATGCTGGGGCAGGGGCCAAGATGGGCGGAACAGCAGAGGAGGGGGAGGGTCTGGAGGGAGCAGCAGGAGGGACCCAGCTCCAGAGCAGAGCAGGTGGCCAGGCCAGGGCTGGGTGGAGGCTGGGCCTCCCGTGGCTCCTTCTCCCGATGGCAGAGCTGGAGGGAGGAGGGTGGCTGCTTCCTCGAGGGCCTGAGTCACAGCCAAGAAGACCCGCTCACTTTTTCCAGAAGTGACGGAAACTTCCCCTCAGCCCAGGGCCAGGGGAAGGGAGGCGTGACTGGGCCGCCCGCGGGGCAGAATGGGGGCGCTGGCTGTGAGCAGCTGTCTCCCCTGTGGCCCAGCTGCCTGGGCTGTTTACCTGGTCAGCTGCCCAGTGCGCCCCAGGGCCCCCCAGCTGCGTCCCCCCCCACCGTGCCCCTCCCCACAGCAGCCCTGCTGTGCTGGGGGCCGGGCAGTGAGGCCCCTCTGAGTGGCACACCTTGGACGTTGGGGGCCCATGCCTGTGCTCCCCCAACCCGGCCAGGCGGTTTCTGGTCCCAGCCGAGGCCTGAGGTCTGTGGAGTGGAGCCAGCACCACCACTGCCAAGATTCCCGGCAAGGGGGGTGGGGGACCCGGCAGGCGGCAGGGACACAGTTCTTGCTTGTTCCTGCCGCCAGCTCCTCAGGCTCAGCCCGGCGCTTCCTTTTTTAGGCAAACTTGAGCTCCAGTCACCCTCGGGGCTCCGCGGTGTCTCACCTGCCAGAAAGGGAGGAAGGAAAACCATTGAGTCCCTCATTCCTCTCTTCAGCATCCTCTGGGAGAGGGCAGGAAGGGAGGGGACATCCTGGCAGACACCCCACCCCTATATGTGTGCCCCACCCCCAGCTTGGAGCGGAGGAGGGGCTGGAAGAGGTGGTGGTTACCCCGAAGTCAACTGCCCTGGGAGCTGAGTGTCCCTCGGGTTACCCCGAGGCCCCCGCCTCTAGTCTGGGCCTAGCCAAGCTCCAGGACCCATGAGCCCTGCTGACTAGTGGCCCCTCTGGGTCTGTCCACAGTCACGGAGTCCGACCTTGGCCTGGGCCCCGGGCCCCAGCCAGGTATGGGAACGGCAGTTGGCCCGTCAAGGTCACACTGGATAGGGCCTGGCCAGCCACTTCCCACTGCCTCCCAGAAGCCCAGCCAAGAAGCTTCCCCTCAGGCTCCTCAGCCTTCCGTCCCCTTCCAAGGCCCTGTCTGTCTCGTTTCTAAGTTCGATCCCCAAGGCCCTTCCAAGCTCTGCTGGTCAGTCCTGCGGCGTGTCCCAGTCTCCCAGACACCTCCCCCTCCTCCCGCCCTGGGCCCGAGGTGAAGCCAGGGCCTGTGCCTTGTTGAGGGTTCTCCTGGGCCTGGCTTCGGGGACATCCAGCAACGCGGGGTCACGGGAAGCGGGGGGCTTGGGGATGATGTAGCCTGGTGACTCCCCGCTGGCTCCCACGGGCTGGGTGGGTGGGAACCTGTGGCCTCCTGTTTCCTTGAGTGCGGGCTTTTGACCGAATCCCAATATTACAGAGCAAAGGGATTTGTTCCGTGAAGTTTGGATCGGTGGAGGGGCCGCACTCCGGCATCTGGAGGCCACACGAGGCGGTGGGGCCACAGGTCCCAGCCCTGCCCCAGAGCCACAGCCGGGGAAAAAGGGAATTGGAGTGCCAGCGTGTGCACGCCCACGGCGCGTGCCTCGGTCGTGTCTGCGCCGCCGCTGCGTGTCCCTGCGCGTCCGGTTCCGCCCGCGTGTGCGCCCCGCCGTCTGCGCGCGGGAGAGTGCGGGCGGCCGGGGGGCGGGGCCTCCAGGGCGGGGCCTCTCGGGGGCGGGGCCGGCCGCGCGGCGACGCGCCCCGCAGCCCAGGAGCCAGCGAGCGGCGAGCGGCCGAGCGCGCCTTGTCCCGTCGCGCGCGATGCTCCCCTGGACGGCGCTCGGCCTGGCCCTGAGCCTGCGGCTGGCGCTGGCGCGGAGCGGCGCGGAACGCGGTGAGTGCGGCGGGCGGCCGGGCTGGTCCTCCTCTCCGGGCGCCCCCTCTCTGTCCCCGCGGCCGCGGGGCGGGTGGGCGAGGAGGCTGCGGGGGCGGGGGCGCGGGCGGAGCACCCCACCCACCCGCGGCGGGCGCACTCAGGTGCTCCGGCAGGGGCCGCCCCCCACCCAAGGCCGCCGTCTGCCCTCCCGTGGGCATCTCCGCGGGATCGCCGGGCCTGGACGGGAAGAAGCAGATGTCTGTTGGGGGAGGCGGCCCTCGCCTCAGTTTCCCTGCTTTTACAATGGTCCTTAGTAGAGGCAAGGTGGGAAGGTTGGAGTCACCCCACCGCATTAGGGAAACCTCATGGCCGGTCCAGAATGGAAACCCTTGAGCTCCTGCCTGCCTCAGTGGTGGAAGGGCCCATCTGCTTCATCCACCCCCGCGGAGTGCAGGGAGGAAGGGGGAGCCCGAAGAGGGGGCCGGGCAGCCCTCAGGCTGCTGGGGATGTATCCTGCTTTCTGGGTCCAGATGGAGCAGAGGATGGGACCGTGCGGGGTGACATCATCTGTAAGTGGGATCAGACTCCAGCCGGGCCATCTGGGCTGGGGGGGCTGTGTTCAGTGCTCTGCCTCCCCTGTCCCTCCACCTCTGCTCCCCACCCTCCCCTGCCGCTGTGTGCATGCCCAGGGCCAGCGGCCTCACCTGGAGGCCGAGCCGCATGGCTGAACTCAGCCTCAAAGCTGCTTCTCCACAGCAAAGCCTGCAGGGAGCAGCTCCAGGGCTGAGGCCACCCCTGGGGTCTAGGCCAGGCCCCAGGCTCCACCTGCATGCAGGGCTGCTGAGGGAAGGCAGGGAGTCGGGGCTTGGACAGGTCAGCTCTCCTCTACAAATGGGACAAGCCGTAGGTCACGTGGCCAGCATGCAGAGCTGGAACCCAGCGAGAGGATGGGCCTCTTGCTTGGCTCAGAATCCCCTCTCTCCTCTGCACCCAGGACCTTCAGATGAGGGCAAGATCCTGCTTAAGGAAAACACAGGCCCTCAAGGGCTCTGCCCAGGGCGTGGGGCTGTCTGGGGGCACCCACCACCTGGGGCTGAACACCCATCCTTTTCCTCAGGTCCCCCAGCATCAGCCCCCCAGGGAGATCTGCTGTTCCTGCTGGACAGCTCAGCCAGTGTGTCTCACTACGAGTTCTCCCGGGTTCGGGAGTTTGTGGGGCAGCTGGTGGCTCCAATGCCCCTGGGCCCTGAGGCCCTTCGTGCCAGTTTGGTGCATGTGAGCAGCCAGCCGTACACCGAGTTCCCCTTCGGCCAGTACAGCTCAGGAGAGGCTGTCCAGGATGCCATACGCACTGCGGCCCAGCGCATGGGTGACACCAACACCGGCCTGGCACTGGCATATGCCAAGGAGCAGCTGTTTGCTGAAGCAGCAGGTGCCCGGCCAGGGGTGCCCAAGGTGCTAGTGTGGGTGACAGATGGTGGCTCCAGCGACCCCATGGGGCCTCCCATGCAGGAGCTCAAGGACATGGGCGTCACTGTCTTCATCGTCAGCACCGGCCGTGGCAACCTCCTGGAGCTGTCGGCCGCCGCCTCAGCCCCTGCTGAGAAGCACCTGCACTTTGTGGACGTGGATGACCTGCACATCATCGTCCAAGAGCTGAGGGGCTCGATTCTCGGTAGGTGGGAGGAGGCAGGCCCCGAGGCGATCCCTAGCTGGGAGCTGCAGGAGAGGCTGGGTTGAGCCTTCAGGAGGAACTCTGTACCCAAAGTGGTGGCCAGGGCAATGGGGACTGTGATACCCCCAAGGGGGAAGTGGGAGGTAAGTGACACAGAGCTTCTCTGTGTACTGTCCAGAGACACTCCAGGTAGGCACCCTGCTACCTGGGCTGTGGAGAGGCAGAGGGGCAGGCTCCCTGCTGATGGGCCCAGCCTAGGCCTGGAGGCCCCATGGAGTGGCTGAGGGACTGAGGGGCCACAGCTGGTGGGATGTGGCTAAGTGGGGAGGATGGGCAAAGAGTCCAAGACAAGGAACTCTGCTGAGGGGTAGCATGTGGTGCTGTGCATGTCCGGGACCTACTGCCTCACCTGGCCCAGCATACCTGGAGCGGGACAGCCAGGAGGTCAGGGACTGTCTCCCACAGAGCACAGAGCAAGAGGGTCTGAGCTGGTTTGCACTCAGGCCCCTCTGGGGATTGCCTGGCGGGAGGCTGGACCAGGGAAGGCCTGCTGCAGGGGCTGAGCAGCACCCACTGGCTTTTCTCTGGACTCCCCTGCCCCAGCTAAGCCCGAAGGGAGAGGGGCCTGGTCACTGACTCGACTGCCTGCTGTAGCCACTGAAAAATGCCACCAGCCCCAGGGTTCTTACCAAGACTCTGCCTGTGGGTTCAGCATCCCCCCTGAACCTGAAGGGGTTGGACTGTGGGCTAGAGAGGGTGGAGGGTGCTCCCCAAGATTCCCCAGGGACACGTGACTCCTAACAACCCCTGGGTCAGCCAAGGCAGCTGAGTCTGGAGGGGACAGAGGAGAAAAGGCTGCCTTAAGCAGCTGGACAGGAAAAACCTGAGGCTGTAGGGCAGAGGAGCCAGGCAGTGGGGGCTAGGCCATGGGAAGGGGCCAGGGCCTGTGGGGGATGGGCCATAGGAAGGGGCCAGGGCCTGTGGGGGATGGGCAGGAAAGTGACCCAGGCACCAAGCACTTAGGGAGGAAGTGTCAGGATCCCGACAGGTTTAACTCTGCCTGACAATTATAAGCCTTAGTCAGATGGCCATGTGGTGCTTCGTGTCTCAGGCTCAGGGGTTCCACCGTGGAGTCCCCCACCCCACACTCTTCTGGGGACTCAGGAAGGCAGCACCTCCTGAACCCCAGGTCCAGCTGCACCTGAAGCTGTGGCACCTCCCTTTCCCCCCAGGGCCTCCCCCTGTGGTCTCCGGTCTGCTGGCTGCAGCCTGGGAGAGCCTACTGACCCTAGACTCTGTGCTGACCACTCAGGCTGGGGGCTGGTCCTCTGTTCTCAGATACCACTGTGGGCCCTGCCACCTTTGAGAGACCTCTCTCCAGGCCACTGGTCTGGGTGGGGGGTAGCCACTATACCTGCCCCTCCACAAGACTTGATTTGGGGCTGAGGGAGGTAGGGAAGCTCCTGATAGGGCCTCAGTGGGGGGCTGCACCCTGCACCTCTGTCCCCCACCCCCACCATTTTGCATATCATTAGCATCTGCTGGCCTGGTGGCCCCCACCTGTCCTACAAGGGCCTCCCTTGTCAGGAGCTTCCCTGGACCAGGCAGGGCCCCAACCTCGGGCAGAGGAGGGGCTGACCTGAGTACCCTGACCCCCACACCACCCGCAGACGCCATGCAGACGCAGCAGCTCCGGGCCTCCGAGGTCACGTCCAGCGGCTTCCGCCTGGCCTGGCCACCCCTGCTGACCACCGACTCTGGCTACTATGTGCTGGAGCTGGTGCCCAGGGCCGGGCCCGGGACCCCGAGACGCCAGCAGCTGCCGGGCAACGCTACGGAATGGACCTGGGTGGGCCTCGACCCCGACACTGACTACGACGTGGCGCTGGTGCCCGAGTCCAACGTGCACCTCGTGATGCCCCAGCACCTGCGAGTGCGCACGCGGCCGGCCGAGCCGCCCGCCTCTGCCTTCCCGGCGCCCCCCGCCCCCGAGGAGGAGGAGGCCGGGCCGGCGCGCATCGTCATCTCGCACGCCCGGCCGCGCAGCCTGCGCGTGAGCTGGGCCCCGGCGCTGGGCGCGCCCGCCGCGCTCGGCTACCACGTGCAGTTCGGGCCGCTGCGGGGCGGCGCGGCGCAGCGCGTGGACGTGCCCGCGGGCCGCAACAGCACCACGCTGCAGGGCCTGGCGCCGGGCACCGCCTACCTGGTGACGGTGACGGCCGCCTTCCGCTCCGGCCGCGAGAGCGCGCTGTCGGCCAAGGCCTGCACGCCCGACGGCCCGCGCCCCCGCGCGCCTCGACCCCCGCCGCCCGCCGCCCCGGCCCGGGGGCCGTGAGCCTTGCGCGCCCGCGTCGCCGAGGGGGCCGGAGCCGAAGCCAAAGTTTTGCCCGGGGGACGGGGTGCTGGCCCGTCCTTTGCCCCACGGGGTCTCCGCGGGGCCGCCCAGTCCTCTCCCTGCCGCAGGCTGCAGCGGCGCGTGCGGTGACCACCCTCTCCCCTCCCCCCCGGAGCCGGACACCGGTGTGGGACTTTGGGCAGGATTAGCCGGGAGATGGACAGGGAGGCTGGCCGCCAGACCTCCCTCTGTGTGAAAGGCCGTGCCCTCTCTTCTGGTGGCATGGGCTGGAGGGAGCTTGGTCCACCTGGCCACCCTAAGCCCCCAGGGCCACTCAGATCCTGGATATTGGTGGAAAGGGACAGGGCAGGTCCCCAAAGGCTGCCTGAGGGAAAGGAAGGGCAGAGAGGGATGCCAAGAGGTGGAGGTGTTGCCAGGTGGTCTTCACCAGGACACCTGCTGCCCTGGAGGGCAGTGCCTGTCCAGGACTGTGGCCCTGCCTTCCTGCTCAGGACCCCAGCTAGGCCAGGCTGGCAGCCACTGGGACTCAGAGGGTGCCTTCAGGAGGAGAAGCGGGACTAGAGCCTGGAAATGAGGACCTTGAGGACAGGAGAGTCCCACACACTGACGGGCCCTCAGGCCAGCACTCTTCTGCCTGGGGGACAGAGGGAGCAGGGACAAGTTTCCCCAGGGTGGGTTCCCCCATGGCTCTGCAGCGTCTGACACCAAGGGCTACCTCCTGGCACCACTCATCCTGGGCAGTCAGACAGGTTGCCAACGGCAGGGTGCCTGGATGTCCCCAGCCCCTACGTGCTTCCAGAATTGCCTGCATCACTCAACACTCACGTCACCTCTCTTCCCCACTAACGTCCCAGACTTTAAAATTCAGTAAACCAGATGTAAAGTAGCCTGCAGTCTCATTAGAATGCTTTACTCCTTCCAGAACACGCCAGCTGTGGGCAGGGCAGCTTGTAAAAGGTCCCCTATGCTTCAGGACCCCTGGTGTGTCTGGGGAGGGGAGGGGTAGGCTGGCCCTCTGGCACCCGGACACAGACCACCGGGACTGTGTGGTCCCTGTGTGCACCTTCAGAGGCTGGGCCCCATTTCCGGGGGCCGGGACCCCGCAGCCTGGACTGGGGTAGGGTACTGGGATGCAGAGGACAGGACGCCGGGCTCTCCCTGCAGGGACGTGCCCACCACAGGCTTGGGCTTACGCGGGTGCCCTCTGCTGGCAAAGCCACGCCCTGCGGTCCCTTGCCAGGGCCCTTTGCTAATGGGAAACTGCTCTCAACCTGAGGAACTGCAGGGTTGGGGTCCAACTTGGTGTTCTTAGTCTGCCTGCTTGGGCAGGTGTGCAGGGCAGGCCTTGCCTGCCGCCGTCTCCCAAGAACCTGATCTGGGCATCACACAGCCCCAGCTGGAGCCCAAGGCTGCACTGCCCACCGGTGGGTGTGTTCGGCGTGGAGGGCCGGCTGCGCGGGGCTCACAGCCCAGGATTTGTCCTTGTGTGTGAGGATGGCACGAGACACAAGGACATCCACCTTGCCTGTGTGAGCAGGGGTATGGGGGCCATTGCGTGCTCACGCCCGCACCGCTGGTCAGCTAACCCTAACCCTAGCCCTCTCTGTGCAGCCCTGGCCCCCACCTGTTCTCCAGGGTGGCTGCAGGTTTGAACCTGTTGGCACCTTGAGAAGAAGGTCCCCCTTCCACACTGAGCCCAGGCCCAGCTCGCAGAGCGGCAGCCGAGTGCCAGGGCGTCTCCTAACTGTCATGGTGCCTCCCTTGGATGGCTCCAGCTCACAAGAAGCTGTGATGAGCTCCTCGCCCAAAACGCACCTACAGTCCTGAGCGAGCAGAGCAGGTCCCACAGGCCAAAACTCTGCTCTGCCCAGCCCTGTCTGGCAGAGGGACCTTTCTGGACGCTGAGGCCCAGAGCCGGCTATTTGGTGCCGGCAGGAGGTGAGGGGGCCCCCACTGCCGTCTCCATGCCAAGGGAGGCCTCTTTCAGAAGCCCTCGTCTCGGAAGTGCTGACCCGCTGACCCCTCACTGTCCCGGGCGGTTTTTATTTTTTATTTAATTGATTTATTTAGAGACTGAGTCTCACTCTGTCACCTGGACTAGAGTGCCGTGGTGTCAGCCTAGCTCACAGCAACCTCAAACTCCTGGGCTCCAGCGATCCTCCTGCTTCAGCCTCCCGAGTAGCTGGGACTACAGGCACGCGCCACCATGCTTGGCTCAGGCGTTTTTTAAGAATTCTTTGAATCTGGATCATGTCTCCGAGCAGCGCTGGCCCTGGGAGTAGCCTCTGGAAAAGTTCTGTCTTGGTCTCCCTGTGAGCTGGCTGTCCCCTGCCCCCGCTCCCCTGGCACGCTCCTGCCCTGGCTTGGTCCACTCTGGGTCCAGGACACTGCGCAGAGGCTGACGTCTGCCAGGATTTAAACATGCGCCAAGGCCACAGTGAGTTTGTTGACACGTATCTGAAAATCAGAAAGGGCGATGGTTGCTTCTGGGTGAGACAAGAAAAGAAGCAAGGTTGTGACCCATGTGGCAGGTGTCCAGGAGGCCAGGGTGGGCAGGGCTGGGAGGAGCCCCTGAGGGAGACTGCAGCAGGCTCAAGGGCAGCCCTCGGGCCTGTGCCGGTTTCTGCCCTCTGCCAGGCAGCGTGGCTGGTCCTGCCCCAGATTTGAAGAGGGCACCCCTGGGGATTCGCCAAGGCTGCACGTCAGACTGCTCCGTGAGACACTACTTCACCGGGCAGCCTGGTGCTTGTCCACTGGCAGGAGGGCCTCGGGGGGCTGAAATTCGTGCCCACCCCCCCGGACAGAGTAACTGCCCTCCCAGGGCCCCAAGCCCTTGGGACAGAGCTGTCTGTGGGAGCTGGAGGGCAGGAGAGGGTCTGCAGTCCCGATCTCCAGGAAGTGGGGTGTCCAAGAGTGAGCCCTGCAGCTGGGACCACCAGTGAGACTCTAGTTACCTCCCTTGGGTGCAAGCTGTTTCCATAGTGACAGTAATAAACGGTGGGAAATCCTGGAAGTGCAGCCCCATGTGACAGCCTTCTGCTGGCAAGAGGGGACGATTTAGGAAAATTGGAGCTAAAGTGCAATAGCTGTGTGTCTCTCGCTTTTTTTTCTGGGATGAAAAATATTCTTCCAACATTCAATTTTATAAAAAGCTAGTAGAAGTCATATCTCCTCCTGGAGATGAGTGTAGGGAGGGGGGGATGCCAGGGAGACCCCTGGGGGCTTCAGTGGACAGATGAGGGGTGGACCCAGCCCTAGGCAAGGGCTCTAGAGCTGCTCTTCTGGGGGGCGGGGATGGGGAGGTGATGGCTACAGTCTCCTGGGCGGGGGCGGGAGAGGCAACCTCTGATCTCTGACCCCTGCCACCGTGCCCACCTTTCAGAGATGCAGATGAACTTGCCTTGACGAATTATACCCTGTGTGCCACACAGTTTGAGCTTTTGAAGAAAGAAAGATGCCCCTTGTCCCTGCCAGGTGTAGGGACAAGCAGAGGCAGGGTGGAGGGTAGCTGGCAGCCTGCCTGTGCCTGCAGCAAGAGGGAACCACAGGCCGTGGGACGGGAGGCCACACTCTGCCACAGCACACGTGGGGTGCACAGTGCTGCTGCTGGGAAGGGGTGGGAGCCATGAGCATCCCTACTCACCAGGTGGCCTGGGGCCTTCACCTCCTGCCCACCCCCACTGCCTCTTCTGCTCCAAGCCAGCTCCCCACATAGGGAGGTGTCCCAGCCACGGTAGGCAACTCCTTCTCACAGCCCCTCCCAGACTGTCCATGGGACATGAAGGCACCGTCACGGCCATGGCTTTGAGGAGATCTGCTCCCAGACCATGCAGCTGGCTCTGCTTTTCTCCAGGGAAGGCAGAGTTCCCACTTCAGCCCTGCAAAGGGTGGGCCAGTACTCATAGTGTCACCTGACCCCCAAGGGGCAGGGCAGCTGAGTACCTGTCTTAAGGCCACCCATGACCCCACATGACTTGGAAGTGTGCACGTCTACAGAGTTAACTTCAGAGCCTCTGGTGGGGACATACTGGCCATAATGGCCCTTCTACAGGTGGGTCTGCAGGTCCGGCTAGGCAGAGGGGCTGCTTTGGGGGCAGAGGACAGTATGCAGGGTTGCCACGAGTAGGCAACTGCTCACCTAAACGCAGCACCAAACAAGAAGACAAGCTGCACAGCTTCGGGGGAAGCCTGGAGGGGCCAACGAGCTCTGGGCTCAGTCCTTAGTTGCTCTACAGTCCTGGACCCAGCACTGCTATGTTTATTGCCTCATGGTGACCACTGTGCCTTGGGGAGGAGCTGTCAGGGGCTGGCCAGTTGTAAAAGCTTGTGGAGAGCTGGGAGCCCTGCTCTGCTGGTCCCCAGCCTGGGGGCCCAGGCTTTGGTGGGCTGAGCTGGGCACCTTTCCTTTCAGCTGGGCTAGGGCCTTCCTGGTGGTGGCAGGAGCGGGATGCACATGCCGATGGGCTGGCACAACTGGGAGTGAGACCAGAGCCAGGGGTCCTGTGGAAGCTGGAGAGAAAGAACGGGAGAGGGGCTGGCCCCTTACTCCTGAAGGCTGGCACCTCTAGGCGAGTGAGTGACGAGTGAGACTGCAGAGTGACGTGGGGGCATGAGCTGCTCGCAGTGTCAGAGGACAAACTTCTGCATGGGCATGTTCAGTGCGGGGAAGCCCTGGGGCTGGGTCACCGGGCCAGGGGCCACACTGGAGGGCTACAGGTCTGGCATGCTGTGCAGCTCCCCAGAGGTCACCGAAGTGGAAGACTCAGAAACCACACTTGTTCCCTGAATTCTGGGAGCAAAGTGCTCCACCCACCACTTGGGTGGGGCCTGCTCTGGGACTCAGGCCCCTGCTCCTGCTGGCCTAGGATCCCAGGGGCAGCTGTGTCTCCCCCAGCCCCCGCCCATCTTGGCTCAAGGCTGGAGGCCAGGCTGTGCACTTGCACCTTTAACCTCTGCAGTCTCTCCTCCAGGTCCTCAGTGCTGGAGGGGAAGCGGCCAGGGGAATCCCAGCAGTGAAACAGCACAGCGCAAGCAGCAGAGAACTTCATATTTGTCGATTAAATGTAGACAGCACCATTCTCATTCCCTTTCATTGGCTCAGTATCTTTAAGAAGTGTGTATTTGTCCTCCTGAATGGCTTCCAGTCTAAGGTTGAAGTAACAAACACGAGTGAATGGGACCTTTGCAAGCTCATCAGAGTGGGCAGTGTGCAGCGGCACTGTTTGGAGGGAGGGGGTTTACTTCTGCTCTCAATGTCTCTTTAAAGCAATTGCATAAATCTTAAGCCAGCATATTTTCTGCTTTTTAAATTAAGGCTAGTTATATGAAACCGGCTATTTAAAATGCAGAAATTTATAAAACACACCAGCTAGCGGGTGCAGTGGCTCATGCCTGTAATCCTAGCACTCTGGGAGGCCAAGGCGGGTGGATCACTCAAGGTCAGGAGTTCGAGACCAGCCCGAGCAAGAGCGAGACTCTGTCTCTACCAAAAAATAGAAAGAAATGATCTAGACAACTAAAAATATATATAGAGAGAAAAAATTAGCCAGGCATGGTGGCGCATGCCTGTAGTCCCAGCTACTCGGGAGGCTGAGGCAGAAGGATCGCTTGAGCCCAGGAGTCTGAGGTTGCTGTGAGCTAGGCTGACGCCATGGCACTCACTCTAGCCAGGGCAACAAAACGAGACTGTCTCAAAAAAAAAAAAAAAACAAAACAATAACATTAAATTTAATTTAAAAAGACAGACGCTTGCCAAATGCCTGCCTGGGATGGAGCTGGAGGCGGGCATGTGGCTGCTGCGGAAGAGGTCCTCAGTCTCCCTCTCATGGCCTCTTCTTTGCCCATCCAAGCCCTGCGGGGTGCTGTGGGCAGTACGCTTTGCAGCTAGTCCATAAAAACCTTGATGGCGGCCACTGGGGGCGTCTGGCTATCGCTGGGAAAGTCATTTGGCTTTTCTCTTTGCGTAGAGAGGGAAAAAATCACGAAATTATCTTAGAATTTCACATTTTTTCCTGTTTTTATTGCTACTTACGATTGTTTTCAATCTAGCGGGAAAAGTCATCGCATATACCTCTGTAAACTCAACCAGTTCCATCAAGGAAAGAACCAAGGGGCAACTGGAAGCCTGGGACCAAGAGCCACTCTGGATGCTGTGGTTCCGGATCGACGCCTGGCCCTGGCCCTGTGCCCCTGCGGCAGGACAGCGGCCACCAAGGCGGAGCTCTCGCCGGCGAGCGACCAGAGCCGGGCCCTCTGGCCTAAGGGGCTCCTCCGCGGGGCCTTGGAGCGCGGCGGCCCCGCTTCTCCCAGCCTCGGGGTTGGGGCTCTCGGCCACCGCCCTCTGCGGGCCAAACGGGGTCACGCAGCCACGCACCGCGGAGGTTTGCGGCGACACCGAAGGGGAAGATGGGGAACGCCGGTCCTCCAGCGCGTCCCACCGAACCACGGTCGCATGGAGGGCCTACTGTATGCGCCGGGCTCAGAGATCCAGCGAGCGCAGCCTCCGTCCTCCAGGGTGGCTCCCGGGGTCGCCGAGCCCCCACGCCGGCCCTGGCTCGGGTGAGGCTCGTCCAGGATTCTCCGCGGCCGCGCCCAGGAGAGCTCCCAGGGCACCCGCCCCCTAGGCCGCCGAACCTGCGCTCCACAGGCGCCATAGCAACGGGATCCAGTGTTCCTGCTGAGCGGAACTGACGTAACCAGGCCGCACACACGCCCACGCCAGTAATTTTGTCCCTGCTTGGCTCCCGTAAACAGGCGCTTCGTCCCGCCTCCGCGAGCTCGCTCGGGCAATCGCGGCGCCGACGCCGATGGCGACACGATCCTCTCTGCCAATCCGAGGGCTGCGTGCCGCGTGGCCAGTCCGAGGCCTGAGGGCCGCGTGTCCCTAGCGCGCTTCCGTCGCCCCGGAGGCGGGTATGTGTCGCGCCTGCGCAGTGTCTTTGCCCGGCGCGTGGAGGCTGTTCCGAGCCGCGCGCTAGTTACGTTCGGGTCCGAGTTCCGCGGCTGCGGCGGCGTGCGGCGCTCCCCGGTCATGTCGTGGCTTTTCGGCCTCAACAAGGGCCCCAAGGGCGAAGGCGCGGGGCCGCCGCTGCCCTTGCCGCCCGCGCAGCCCGGAGCCGAGGGCGGCGGGGACCGCGGCGTGGGAGACCGGCCGGCGCCCAAGGACAAATGGAGCAACTTCGACCCGACGGGCCTGGAGCGCGCGGCCAAGGCGGCGCGCGAGCTGGAGCACTCGCGTGAGTGCGGGCCGGGCGGGGTCGGGCGGCCGAGGGGCCCGGGGAGCGGGAGGCTCCGCGGCGGAGCGCCAGAGCCGGGCGCTCGAGGGGCGGTTGACCCCTTGCCCGCCCGAGCAGTCAGGCGATGAAGTGGCTTGGGCAGCTCGACTTCTCGGGTGAGGAGACTGGCCTCCGAGAGTACCCTTGGCCAAAGCCCACTTGCATGCCGGCAGGTCCAGAGTCTATCACCCTTTTACGCGTTCCTAGCTGTCACGAGCACGTGAGGCCCGGAAGCCGGTGCGGAGGTAACTTTCAGAGGTTACAGGCATCGGGTGCTGGGGCTGGACCCTGGATTTCACTGGCTGCCGAGTGCCTGGCGTCCTTCCTCTCTTGCTGCCTCCACGTGGGATGGGCCAGGCGTAGCCAGAACGGTAGATCCGTTTGTTCGGTGGTTGCTAGCAATTTTCTACTTAAGAAGGGAAGCATGTTTGAGTCATTGGTTTTAACAAGAACGTAGCAGATTTGCACTTGTTATCGGAAAATGTGAATGTTTCCATAAGGGGGTCTGTAAAGCCACAGGCCAGACGGCGCTGACCCAGCCTGGTGACTCTCCCTGACCCAGGGCCCTCATGGTGTCAGCGGTGACTGTGCCTTCCTTGGGCTCAGGTGTCTTTCCCCAACCTTCCTTTCTACCTTGGCTTTAAGGATTTGTATCAGTTGTGGTTTAAGGGTTCAGGAGCCTGGAACGTATAAGGTGTTGAGTAAATACTGACTGATGGAATACGGTGGTTCTCACCCTTTTGTTTAAAGCAGGGGCTTCTTTTTTTTCAGAGAGGATGCTGTGAGGAAGCCTTGGTATGAAGCAACTATAAGCAGAGTTTTCCTGTTCAAGACGGGAGAGGTCCTGGCACTTGGGGGAAGGAGTCTCCTCTCCCTCCCCAGGGGCCTACAGGAACGCCCTGGGCAGTGGTCTCTGGCTCTGGTGAGGGACATCCAAAACATTAGGATTTGGGCCCAGGACCAGGCCAACATATTGTTAGCCCTAGCTGGGCTCCTTCTGCCCCCAGGTGTTTTTGGTTGTTTTTTTTTTTTTTTTCTTAAGAGACATAGTTTGGATATGTCGCCCAGGCTGGCCTCGAATTCATGGGTGCAAATGATCCTCCTGCCCCAGCATCCTGAGTAGCTGGGATGACAGACATGTGCCCCTGTGCCTGGTTTGTCCCCGGCTGTTTTAAGCTTGCTAGATAATTTTTTTTTGTTTGTTTTTGAGACAGAGTCTCACTGTGTTGCCCGGGCTAGAGTGCCGTGGCGTCATCCTAGCTCACAGCAACCTCAAACTCCTGGGCTCAAGC